AAGAAACAAACAGAGGTCAAAATCAAAGGCCCATCACAAAAAATGGCTCTGAGGAAGAGGTTCTGCCTCAATACGCGTCAGCCATTTGGAGGCCTACAGTCCAACAGCCACCATCTAGGGAGATTGGATCATACTGTCTTTTTTGTGATGTGCCTTTGATTTTATTCTTTTGTGAGTATACTACTTTTTATTCAATAAATCTAAATTTTAGAAGGTAATGCATTAGGCCAGTACGCCCTCTGTCAATCACAGGCTGTGTGCTGGAGGTCCCTGCCCTGTCACCTTTTTCCTTGTGGTGTCAGGAGAACTTTTCAGAAGTGATTCATGCTGATAGCAGAGCAATGCAGCAGCAGACAGAAATGATACTTAGTGCTCTTAATTTTAAGTGCACACTAGAGAGGGTTATTCTTTGTTCATATTTCATGTCTGAGGTTTACAACCACTTTAAGCGCATCCATGTGATTGAGGTCTTAGGCCTCATGCACACTGGAGGTTTAGCCCTGGTGCATGAGAATCCAGTATTTAGGTGTGGGTTTAAGGCACAGACGCAGTCCAGCCCTGCTGCCGGTGGCACATAAATGCCAAAGTCTGAAGAGAAAGATATGGCTAGTCCGTTTGTAATTTACACCCTGTTTACAGTTACGTAAAATTTAAACTAAAAGTATAAAAATGGTACATCATCCAAACTAAAATGAACATCAAATCTCCAGGGTGCTTGTAATTCTAGCAATTGATGCCTTAAAGTACACTTCTATCTGGATGCCTGTTATGCAGCATGATACACAATACATAATATACAGCATAGGTATGTCTGGCCGGCAGGACTCCATATTACATATGGCAGAAAATGCATCATGATATATATTTATGTGGCAGGCACTGCATCAAGGGACACACTATTCTAGCAGGCAATGCAATACTTCTGTCTGGGTGATATACACATCTCCAAGCAGACAATGCATACAGATTTACTTTTACCTAGCAGGCAACGTATTGTAATACACAGTATAAATGCCTAGCAACAATAAAATGCATATTACAGGCAAATATACTGGTCTACTCATCTGCTTTGTAGGCAAGGCTTTCGGATACACATTTGCAGGCAATGCATTGATAAGCAATGCATGTATCTTCCTACAGACAAACACAGCTAAAATGAAGTCTTATAAATGTAACAAATATGGGAATATAATTAAATATATTGTAATTTTCTTTAAACACAGTGTAATTAGAGGTATCGGACCATTATAAGGTGGTCACAGTCACGGCGCTAAAGCTTATAAAAGGAGGAATGTTCTGCTGTACAGAGACACAAGGGACAGATATAAAATGAGATAGGTGAGAATTAATCCATGCATATGTCATGGATTACTAAACCATGCTGCCCAAAGGAGCTACAAGAATTCTCATAGCTCAGACCATAATGATAGTATTCATTGGAATTATGTTACTTGGTGGGAACATTTTGTAAAATGATAATAGAGTAGATTTTACAACTACAATGACTCCCTTGCTCATTTTAACTAGATATGGTACATTTGTTTACACAGATTCAATGAAAATTCAACAGGTTATCTCTGAACATCCATAAAATTAGATAACCAGTTGTTGTAGCAAGATAGTAGTTTTATTTTAACACTTTTTTCTTTAAAGGGTAGGACTGCTATGCATTCTGTGCAATTATGATTCTATAGGTATAGGGTACATATTAATCTTAGTTTGGATGCTTTCATAGGAAAATTCAGGGCAGGTGCTTGAGAATACTGAATTGGGAAGGCAAGAAATTTCAAATCACGGCAATGGTTACCAAGCCCACCTACTAAGGGGGGACACTAAAGTTAAAGCGGAATGCTTATTTATCCCTGCCTACAGTTTGAACCTCAGTATGTGGTAGGGGACTTGCAGAAGTGCCAAATGCCAAAGACCATGAAGGAGATGAAAAGAATGGAAAGGGGGTAGGAGACACAAGTCACCTGAGAGTGGGGTATAATCTCTTTTTTTTTGCCAGCAAGTGCTGGTTTAATTTATTTGGAGACCTGACAGGGTCTTTTAGAGGCTCCTCTGTATACTGCAGTCCTTTTGAATGTAAACTGTTAGATATAACATGAGATAAATTGTGGGCAGGCTACCCCTTCCTCTCATTCAAGGATGGTGACCTTACTCTTTATTCATATTAAGATTTGAGAAAGAGATCGGAAAATGTGTAAAAACTTTTTTATTTGTTTTTGATTGGCTGTGTTTCTCATTCATGACAACGTGAAGACAATTATACAAAAGCTCTCCCTACGTGTTTAATAAATTAGAATTTTGGAGAAATTACATAATCGTTTTATACGGTCTTACAGTTAACAAAGGAAAACAGGTCCATTTTTAAGAAAGTAGGGGGTGGGAAGTGTTACGTTTCCTACAATGCCTACAATGTAATGAACATGTTAGTTGATATTAATGAAATCAACACTAGACCTTCATGAGGCTGCACCATTAGAGAGACACATGATTAATGAATGCAGATAGTAAGTTGTGATGATAGGAGCATAAATTGGATTATCTTTTCTTGCTTGAAGCTGGCACTAGATAAAAAATATCGGAAAGCATTTTTCAACTTAAAGATGAAAACCGTGAGCTGGCCCAGACATTAATCAAGGAGGACCTTGAAACGTGGCTAAAGGAAACTGAAGTGAAAGCAACAGTCACCCCCTGAACTGCAGCCAATTAGTAACCTACCTTGAGCTTTAAATTGCATTTGAATTGGATCAATAAACTACACACAAACAATACATATTCACTTCTGCTGTACACATATTGTTAGAGGGTGATTTACACTAAACGTTTAGAACAAAACTGTTGTTTTTGGGATAAAATATGCATTGATGAAATAAATTATGACTTGAAAGGGTTTTCCCGTTTAAAGAAAAATGCTCCATCTCAAGTGCCCCTGTTTAAGCTGGAATATTACTTATCATAAAGGCTGATGTCATGATTGGTGTGCAGGAACCTAAATGATCTATATGTAATGACTGGACCAGTGTTTTTGGCAGAATGGTAATTGGGGAGGGAAGGGGGGGGGGGCGCGCAGAACGAAGTCTTAAAAATGTGCAAATTATGGGAACAATTTTTTTTCCATTTCCCTCGTGCCTACCCATGGACATTTCTACCTATTTTTGGCTTGCGTACTGATGGGAATAGGTTGCTGTAGGTAAGATTCTATAAAACTGTGAAAGAATAAAACAAATACCCTCCTCTTCTGTTGCCTGAGCTACTGAAAGCCACTCCATTGTGAAGATATCCTCTTCTGAAATGTTACATAGACTGTTGAAAATAGATACAAGTCCAGCCACTCAGTAATTCTTTTAGCCAATCTTTACATCACTACAGGAGACAGGAGGTCAGAACTACTGCTTCAGTGGACACAGAAGGTCAAAACTCCCAGAAGTGTCAGTTTCCAAAGACACTTTAGAGGAGGGTTTCTTCACAATGGAGTATCATTCAGCAGCACTGGTGTCAGGAATGGACTGGCCAGCAATGGTGGGACTCACCTGCCTTTTGATCTGCAGTACCAGGGCTGGCCAGCGGATGCTCCCAGCAATCAGAGACTCAACTTTGCAGCCAGCTAACACCTGGAAATGATTATGCTGGGGTATTTAAGGGATGGCCAGACCCACAGACTCTGCCTTGGTGTTGTGTTTGTCCTGGGCCCTGTATCCTGTTTCTGTCCTGCATCCTGTTTCTGAACCGCTGCTGACTTCTCCTGCTCTGATCCCGGCTCGCTCCTGACCATCCCTCTGCCTGACCCTCTGTACCACGCTGCTTGCTACCTGTTCTGATCCCTGGCTTGTGACCCTGACCATCCCTCTGCCTGACCCTCTGTACTACGCTGCTTGCTACCTGCTGAACCTGGCCTGTGACCCCGACCAATCTCCGCTTGCTCCCCCTGTACCTACCTGCCCTATTGATATTGACCCGGCCTGCCTGACGACGCTTGCTTGTATGTACTGTTATCTGTGGGTGGTTGGTTGGTTTGGTTTGGTTGCACTGTGTTATGTTTTAGTATTGCACTGCGTTTATGTTTGTTGTTAGTGTTAATAAATCAGCCACACACCTCTGGTCACACCTGGGAGCCCTGACATTACACCAAGGCCAATCCTGACCAGAAGTGGCTGCACAGGGAAGCCATCTTGGCTTGTTGCTGGGAAGGATGGATCTGGATGAGGTTGTGTATTTATATCTGCTAGTGTTTGATGACAGGGAGTATGCTTATCAAACTCTGAAGGAGTATCCCGGGATCAACTACTAGAATGTATACGGCTCGCTCATGTTCTAGTAGATCAGGGCACAGAGTTCTCTGAGGTGCAGCCTTTGATTGAGGTTTGTGCGGAGTTGGTTTCATCTGGTTCCCCCGAATGCAGGGATGAATTTTTGCCACCATTTAGTGCAGACCAGGTAGAGTCCCTGGTGTGGTTATTAGAGGATGATGTGGGTTACTTTCTGGAGCGTTATTCCACATGTTCACCACAGACACTAAGAGATTGTATAAACGCAGTGCAGTCATTGACCAGACAGGCTTTGTGTAAGCTCAGCTTTGTTCAACCCATACTGCAGACATGGACAGACTTGTTGCACCCAGCCTCAGTCAGCTTACAAAAACCCAGTCCTGCTTCTAACTCTACTCCTGTATTCCCACCAGCTCCTCCAGTTACAGCCCAGTATACTTGGCTATCTACCGCATGTCAGTACCCTGTTCCCACTCGCTGCACCTATCCTGCCTTTAAACCTGTAAAAAAGCCCTCTGTAGCAACTGCTCCCTCTCCTGTTCCATCCTCCAGTTTTTCTCTGTCTCCAGCTGCTCCATTCGTTTGCAGACCTGCGTTTACTTGCAGTGCTCCAGTAGTTAAAACCAGAAAAAAGCGAAAATTCTTTCCAACCAATACCATCCTGCCAGTATCCAAACCGGTGAACCTGCCTTCCCGTGACTCAGCCTGAAGCCTCTACTCAGCCTGAAGCCTCTACTCAGCCTGAAAGCCTCTACTCAGCCTGAAGCCTCTCTTCAGCCTGATGCCTCTCTTCAGCCGATGCCTCTCTTCAGCCTGATGCCTCTCTTCAGCCTGATGCCTCTCTCAGCCTGATGCCTCTCTCAGCCTGATGCCTCTCTTCAGCCTGATGCCTCTCTTCAGCCTGATGCCTCTCTTCAGCCTGATGCCTCTCTCAGCCTGAAGCCTCTACTCAGCCTGAAGCCTCTACTCAGCCTGAAGCCTCTACTCAGCCTGAAGCCTCTACTCAGCTGATGCCTGCATTCAGCCTGATGCCGCTACTCAGCATGATGAACTGATCCAGCCCGACGATCCTATTAGGCCAGTTGACTCGATGCCCGCTGTTGATCCCAGATGATCCGGTACCTGATCCAGTGCCCGCTGTCGTGCCAATTGACTCAGAGCCCGCTGTCATACCCTGGTGACCCGGTGCCCACTGCCTTGCCAGATGACGCGGTGCCCGCTGGCAAGCCAAATGAAATGACCTGATGCCTGGTGACCCAGTGCCCGCTGTCATACCTGGTGACCCGATGCCCGCTGTCGAGCCAGACAATCCGATACCTGATGACCCGGTGCCCACTGTCGTGCCTGTTGACTCGGAGCCCACCAGTCTTGCCAGACGACTCGGTGCCCGCAGTTCTTGCCAGACGACTCGGTGCCCGCAGTCTTGCCAGACGACTCGGTGCCCGCAGTCCCGCCAGTTGACTCGGTGCCCGCAGTCTTGCCAGACGACTCGGTGCCCGCAGTCTTGCCAGACGACTCGGTGCCCGCAGTCTTGCCAGACGACTCGGTGCCCGCAGTCTTGCCAGACGACTCGGTGCCCGCTGTCTTGCCGCCAGTGCCCGACTCGGTGCCCGCTGTTCCGCCAGACGACTCGGTGCCCGCAGTTCCGCCAGACGACTCGGTGCCCGCAGTCTTGCCAGACGACTCGGTGCCCGCAGTCTTGCCAGATGACTCGGTGCCCGCAGTCTTGCCAGACGACTCGGTGCCCCCGCAGTCTTGCCAGACGACTCGGTGCCCGCAGTCTTGCCAGACGACTCGGTGCCCGCAGTCTTGCCAGACGACTCGGTGCCCGCTGTCTCCGCCAGACGACTCGGTGCCCGCAGTCTTGCCAGACGACTCGGTGCCCGCAGTCTTGCCAGACGACTCGGTGCCCGCAGTCTTGCCAGACGACTCGGTGCCCGCAGTCTTGCCAGACGACTCGGTGCCCGCAGTCTTGCCAGACGACTCGGTGCCCGCTGTCTTGCCGCCAGACGACTCGGTGCCCGCAGTCTTGCCAGACGACTCGGTGCCCGCAGTCTTGCCAGACGACTCGGTGCCCGCAGTCTTGCCAGACGACTCGGTGCCCGCAGTCTTGCCAGACGACTCGGTGCCCGCTGTTCCCAGTTGACTCGGTGCCCGCTGTTCCGCCAGACGACTCGGTGCCCGCAGTCTTGCCAGACGACTCGGTGCCCGCAGTCTTGCCAGACGACTCGGTGCCCGCAGTCTTGCCAGACGACTCGGTGCCCGCAGTCTTGCCAGACGACTCGGTGCCCGCAGTCTTGCCAGACGACTCGGTGCCCGCTGTTCCGCCAGTTGACTCGGTGCCCGCCCGCAGTCTTGCCCGCTCGACGACTCGGTGCCCGCTGTTCCGTCTGACTCGGCCCGCAGACGACTCGGTGCCCGCAGTCTTGCCAGACGACTCGGTGCCCGCAGTCTTGCCAGACGACTCGGTGCCCGCAGTCTTGCCAGACGACTCGGTGCCCCGCAGTCTTGCCAGACGACTCGGTGCCCGCAGTCTTGCCAGACGACTCGGTGCCCGCAGTCTTGCCAGACGACTCGGTGCCCGCAGTGCCCGCACTCGGTGCCCGCCAGACGACTCGGTGCCCGCAGTCTTGCCAGACGACTCGGTGCCCGCTGTTTGCCAGACGACTCGGTGCCCGCAGTTCTTGCCAGACGACTCGGTGCCCGCAGTCTTGCCAGACGACTCGGTGCCCGCAGTCTTGCCAGACGACTCGGTGCCCGCAGTCTTGCCAGACGACTCGGTGCCCGCAGTCTTGCCAGACGACTCGGTGCCCGCAGTCTTGCCAGACGACTCGGTGCCCGCAGTCTTGCCAGACGACTCGGTGCCCGCAGTCTTGCCAGACGACTCGGTGCCCGCAGTCTTGCCAGACGACTCGGTGCCCGCAGTCTTGCCAGACGACTCGGTGCCCGCTGTCTTGCCAGCCAGTTGACTCGGTGCCCGCAGTCTTGCCAGACGACTCGGTGCCCGCAGTCTTGCCAGACGACTCGGTGCCCGCAGTCTTGCCAGACGACTCGGTGCCCGCAGTCTTGCCAGACGACTCGGTGCCCCCCCGCAGTCTTGCCAGACGACTCGGTGCCCGCAGTCTTGCCAGACGACTCGGTGCCCGCAGTCTTGCCAGACGACTCGGTGCGGTGCCCGCAGTCTTTGCCAGACGACTCGGTGCCCGCAGTCTTGCCAGACGACTCGGTGCCGCTGTTCCCCAGCAGTCTTGCCAGACTCGACTCGGTGCCCGCAGTCCGCCAGACGACTCGGTGCCCGCAGTCTTGCCAGACGACTCGGTGCCCGCAGTCTTGCCAGACGACTCGGTGCCCGCAGTCTTGCCAGACGACTCGGTGCCCGCAGTCTTGCCAGACGACTCGGTGCCCGCAGTCTTGCCAGTTGACTCGGTGCCCGCAGTGTTGCCAGACGACTCGGTGCCCGCAGTCTTGCCAGCCAGACTCGGTGCCCGCAGCAGTCTTGCCAGACGACTCGGTGCCCGCAGTCTTGCCAGACGACTCGGTGCCCGCAGTCTTGCCAGACGACTCGGTGCCCGCAGTCTTGCCACGACGACTCGGTGCCCGCAGTCTTGCCAGACGACTCGGTGCCCGCAGCAGTCTTGCCAGACGACTCGGTGCCCGCAGCAGTCTTGCCAGACGACTCGGTGCCCGCAGTCTTGCCAGACTTGCCACTCGGTGCCCGCAGTCTGTGCCAGACGACTCGGTGCCCGCTGTTCCGCCAGACGACTCGGTGCCCGCTGTTCCGCCAGACGACTCGGTGCCCGCAGTCTTGCCAGACGACTCGGTGCCCGCAGTCTTGCCAGACGACTCGGTGCCCGCAGTCTTGCCAGACGACTCGGTGCCCGCAGTCTTGCCAGACGACTCGGTGCCCGTGTCCCGCAGACTCGTTCCCGCCAGACGACTCGGTGCCCGCAGTCTTGCCAGACGACTCGGTGCCCGCAGTCTTGCCAGACGACTCGGTGCCCGCTGTTCCGCCAGTTGACTCGGTGCCCGCAGTTTGCCGCCAGACGACTCGACTCGGTGCCCGCAGTCTTGCCAGACGACTCGGTGCCCGCAGTCTTGCCAGACGACTCGGTGCCCGCAGTCCGCCAGACGACTCGGTGCCCGCAGTCTTGCCAGACGACTCGGTGCCCGCAGTCTTGCCAGTTGACTCGATGCCCGCAGTCTCCAGACGACTCGGTGCCCGCAGTCTTGCCAGACGACTCGGTGCCCGCAGTCTTGCCAGACGACTCGGTGCCCGCAGTCTTGCCAGACGACTCGGTGCCCGCAGTGCCAGACGACTCGGTGCCCGCAGTCTTGCCAGACGACTCGTGCCCGCAGTCTTGCCCGACTGGGGGCCCGCAGTTCCGCCAGTTGACTCGGTGCCCGCCCGCTTGGTTCCGCCAGTCGACCATCGGTGCCCGCAGTCCCGTGCCGAGACTGCTCGGGGCCCGAGACCTGTCGCTCCATCTGGGGGTCCGGCGCCCGCCGCTCCGCCTGAGGGGGCCCGAGACCTGTCGCTCCATCTGGGGGGGCCCGCGCCCCCCGCTCCGCCTGAGGGGCCCGAGACCTGTCGCTCCATCTGGGGGTCCGGCGCCCGCCGCTCCGCCTGAGGGCCCGAGACCTGTCGCTCCATCTGGGGGTCCGGCGCCCGCCGCTCCGCCTGAGGGCCCGAGACCTGTCGCTCCATCCTGGGGGTCCGGCGCCCGCCCGCTCCGCCTGGGGGCCCGAGACCTGTCCGCCCCTGGGGTCCGGCGCCCGCCGCTCCGCCTGGGGGCCTCCGCCCGAGGGTCCGGCGCCTGTCGCTCCGCCTGGGGCCCGAGCCTGGGGGTCCCGAGCCCGCCGCTCCCTGGGGGCCCGCCCGAGGACCTGTAGCCCCGCCTGGGGGGCCCGGCGCCCCCCGTCCGCCCCGCCTGGGGGCCCGATGCCTGTCCCCCCCTGCCCGGGGGTCGCCCCCCGAGGCCTGCCTGCCCCGCCTGGGGGCCCGATGTGCCTGCTGCCCCGCCTGGGTCCGCCCGATGTGCCTTGCCCTGCCCGGTAGCCCCCGATGTGCCTCTGCCCGGAGTGCCCTGCCCGATGTGCCTCTGCCCGTGCCTCTCCTGCCCCTGCCCCGATGTGCCTCTGCCCGGAGTCCAGCCCGATGTGCCTCTGCCCGGAGTCCAGCCCGATGTGCCTCTGCCCGGAGTCCAGCCTCTCTGCCCGGAGTCCAGCCCGATGTGCCTCTGCCCGGAGTCCAGCCCGATGTGCCTCTGCCCCGAGTCCAGCCCGATGTGCCTCTGCCCGGAGTCCCCGATGTGCCGCCCGGTGCCTCTGCCCGGAGAGTCCAGCCCGATGTGCCTCTGCCCGGAGTCCAGCCCGGTGCCTCTGCCCGGAGTCCAGCCGATGTGTGCCTCTGCCCGGAGTCCAGCCCGGTGTGCCTCTGCCCGGAGTCCAGCCCGGTGTGCCTCTGCCCGGAGTCCAGCCCGGTGTGCCTCTGCCCGGAGTCCAGCCCGGTGTGCCCCGGAGTCTGCCCGGTGTGCCTCTGCCCGGTGTGCCTCTGCCCGGAGTCCAGCCCGATGTGCCTCTGCCCGGTGTACCGCTGCCCGGAGTCCTGCCCGGTGTGCCAGTCTTTGATATCCCGCCAGTTACCAGACCCGGGCGGTGGAACATTTTTTCCCAGCTAGGACTGTTTGGAGCGTCCTGAGGCCGCTCCTTGAGGGGGGGGGTACTGTCAGGAATGGACTGGCCAGCAATGGTGGGACTCACCTGCCTTTTGATCTGCAGTACCAGGGCTGGCCAGCGGATGCTCCCAGCAATCAGAGACTCAACTTTGCAGCCAGCTAACACCTGGAACTGATTATGCTGGGGTATTTGCCTTGGTGTTGTGTTTGTCCTGGGCCCTGTATCCTGTTTCTGTCCTGCATCCTGTTTCTGAACCGCTGCTGACTTCTCCTGCTCTGATCCCGGCTCGCTCCTGACCATCCCTCTGCCTGACCCTCTGTACCACGCTGCTTGCTACCTGTTCTGATCCCTGGCTTGTGACCCTGACCATCCCTCTGCCTGACCCTCTGTACTACGCTGCTTGCTACCTGCTGAACCTGGCCTGTGACCCCGACCAATCTCCGCTTGCTCCCCCTGTACCTACCTGCCCTATTGATATTGACCCGGCCTGCCTGACGACGCTTGCTTGTATGTACTGTTATCTGTGGGTGGT